CTTTTAATTAATTATTTCTTTAAATTACCACTTACTTATGATCAATTTATTCTAGTAACTTAATTAATAAATCTCAACTTATTAACTTAATATAATGAAATATAATTTATTCATAATAATATAACCAAAACTCTTTTAAAATAACTCATATTTTATTTACTAATAATAACAACTAAAAATTATTTGTGTTTTTCTTAATAAAAACTATTTCCTAACTTAAGATGACTTCTACTTGTTTAATAATAAGAAAAAAAAACATATATTAATAAGAAACTTTTTTCGTAATAACTTGTATTTATTTAATTATTCACAAAAATCCTTTTTTTTTATAAATAAATTTGAGTTTTAATAATAACAACTTTTTTTATAAAACTATTTATTTAATAAGAAGACTCATTTCATAATTTTTTAATCAACTCACAAAACTAATATACATTTTCGCCTAAAATCGATCATACCAAACCAATTCAACATTTTCTTACAAATTAATTCACCAAATAATACGGCTTTTCTCAAGACAATTCAACCACCTCCCTTAAATAAATTCCTCCTTAGGAACAAATCATCCCCCTTAAAATCAATTCAACTCCGCTTGAAATCGATCAACAGCGTAAAAATAACAAATCAATCGTACACACCCTCATTCATGACACATTCACTCTCACACACTTCAGCGCTTTCATGCATATGTGTATGACTTTACTTTCTGCAATTTATCGCAATCTATATTCTCACATCGCATTCCGTCCAAAGGAAAAACCTACACATAAGTCAACACTTGTGTGTAGTGCACACCATTTACATCATTCTCCCACATGATCCTTGATCCCATTCAAGTTGATCCCTTAAGTCTAGATCCTACCCCATAGGAAGGACTGTTATCCTTTACAACATAGAAATAAACACACTACAACTCGAATCAAAACAACATTCAAATACAATAGAGAAAGATGTTAATCATCTTAAGCGAAATAGAATCTCCACCCCACAACAATACAATCGATACCGTAGGAACTTTGCCTTAAGAGAGATAAAGGCGTACCTCGTCGATCCCTATCCGAGTACTTGAGCCCTTCTCTTAAGATGATGCAAAAACTACATTCCTACAACTTGTGGCGGTTAAATATCCCTTAAAATAATAACGCATCTCTTCTCCTAAAATCAATCAACCAACTACCCTAAACCCGTAGGAACTTTGACCACAGTCAAAGAACTCCTCAAACCCTTTAGGGGAACTACAAAATACTCTGATTCCACTCCCGTAAGGATATGTAGGCATAAGATGCGATATCTTATCGAGTATACTTAGCAATAAACCACTAGGTCTCTTTAACCTTTAAGCAAATAAACACTTAGCAATAAACAAACATAAAATAAGAGGTTCCTGTAGAGTACTACAGAAACTTAGGATGCTAGCACCTTCCCTAAGTTTAACCAACCCCCGAACCTATAACTCTCTAAACCTTGCATTTGCATTGCATTGTGGAAATTTCGATCTTTATCCCTTCCTTTGGACAAATCAAAGTTCGGTTGTAAAATGAATTAAAGATTCAAACTAATCAATAGTTTGGTATCCGATTTTCACCGCGACAGTAACGTTTCATCTCGTCTGACGTCGATATATGCACTGCTTCCCGTGTGAATCTTTCAATGTACTTTCGGAGAGGCTCGTCGGGGGCTTGGATTATCGCGCCGAGGGCGACTTCTGTGTTCGGGTGGCGTCGGGACGCTGTGAAATGTTTTGAAAACAGGTCCTTCAGGATCCTCCATGACGTAATCGATCCGGGCTCCAGACTTTTGTACCATGTCATGGCGCCTTTCCTTAGGGTCGTCGAGAATAGCCTGCACTTGATAGCTCCTCGGACGTTTCGGTAATCGAGCATGACCTCAATGTCTTCCAGGTGATCGTCCGGGTCGGAGGTACCGTCGTATGTCGAGAGCATCGGGGGCTTCTCCATCCCGTGGGGGATGGGGGCAGCCATGATTTCCCGGGACAAGGGAGTCCTGTAGTCATCTTCGTCGCCGAGAGCAGGTGACCAAGGAAGAGATGGGTCGTTTAGTATAGGCGCCTGGTTCCGGGTCCTCGGCCTTCTGACAGGGGGTTCGACGCGCGAAGGTCTGGTCGGGATTGTTGCCGTGTTCTGCCGCCTCCCGCAAACTTGTCTCGTCGGGGATCTGGTGCGCTCCCGCACTACTTCCGTTCGGGGCCTCTCCAGCCGAGGTCGTCAATTTCTGGGTTGAGGCGAGGGGCTCCTCGAGACCCCATTCTGGTCTTCCCGCGGAGGGGACCTTGGGGGGACCTCCCGCTCTAGCGCTCCAATTCGTTCGTTCAGTTGAAACAATAGCTGGTTCGTCTGGTTGATGGCCGCGAAGAGGGCGTCCACCGTTGGATCCGCTTACACCGGGACGGGAATGGGTTGGAACGCCGCTGGGCTCTAGGGCCGGTAGTCGGCCTGGCGTGTCGGTTCTGCGGATGACGGAGATGCAGTCTGGCTGTCTCTCTCGTCGGTCTCCGCTGGGCGTGACGTCTCTGTTTGCTTGTCGCCATTTGCGGCAGCGTTGAGCATGAAGTCGTGCACGGTATCGTCGTGGTGTGGGCTAGCCATGATCGTTGAGTGTTGGTGAAACTTTGGTTCTCTGCTCGGAGTAACGGGGAAGTTTCCGTTCCCACAGACGGTGCCACTGATCTGACCTGATCAGAAGGGGATCACGGGCTGGCCACACGCTGTTGGACTGCTACCTGTTCACCGGTGATGAGGAGGAGGGGGGGTGTACCTGCAAGACACTCCGATGCCAAAGTAAGAAATTGGGCAGAGTGAAGGCAAAGTACAGAAAAAGGGTAAGAAGTGAATTACCTGACCCTCTTGTGGAAGAGGGTATTTATAGAGAGACCCCAGCGTTGGGCCAACGGTCACTTGTGTTGGGCTGGTTGGCCAGGCCCAACCCAGGTGACTGCTAGGGCTTACGTGGCGTAGTGAAGACCAGAACGTGGTCTTCGCCCTAGTCCAACTGTCCATTGATCTCCGGAAAGTGGGTTTGACCTGCTCTTTCGGAGGTGGACAGTTGGTTGGTGACGTGTCCCCGCGAAGGGGAGCACGTGGAGACGTGTGAAGGACACGTTGTCCTGCCCGACAGGAGGGCGGGTTCTGCCCGCGGAAGGCAGGTCTTGTCCTCGGAGGGTAGAGTTCCCCGAGCGGGGAGTCTCCAGCCCGTTGTAGTTGGGGTATGCCTTCCTTGCAGAGAGGCCTTTCTGCCTCGTCGGGGACCTCGTGCCCAACACGGTACTCAGACTTGATAGGACCTGGTGGAACATTATTGGGCTGGGCCCGCGTGATCAGCCCGGGGCCCAGACCATAACACTTTTATTTTTAAACTCATGCGATAATTGATTTGGCATGCACAAAGTCATCACCATTTAATTTTGCACCCATGGGCCATATCAATTATGTATTCTCTTTATTAATTTTTTTAAAGATAGCCATATTAATTTTTGTGTTCTCTTTTTCTACTTGCTCTTCTCTTTCTTTACGTGCTTCCATTATTAACCTTTTATTAAAAATAGATGTTCATTTGATGAACTCCAAACAATCTGCAATAGCTTCTGCATAGAAAGAATTATTTATTCCATAAGATGAAACTCTGCAATCACCTTGATTCTTGATTCTTTCCTCTTTGATTAAACCATTCCTACTACTGTTGTTGTTTCTTTTCAATCCACTTTTACTGCTTCAACAACCAAGACATAGTTATTTGCGTAATTAATTCGAAAAGATAATTTATTTAATATTTTAATTAAAAAATAGGTTATTTTAAAAAAAAAAATCAATTTTAGTCATAAAAGCACATAATTATGCAAATCAACTAACATGATCGAGATGTAAAAAATTATCGTTACTTAGAACAACATCATAAAAAGTTATAGAATGCATGGGCATATTCTGAAAGAGTACCAAGGCAATATGAGAAGAATATTTCCATACAACTTAAAGTTGAAGCCAATATGAGAAAAAAGGTGAAATAAGTAAACAATGCAAAAAAGATGATAAAGATAACTTGGTCGTTAGATATTTATCTGTTGTGTTTGTTTTTGGACACTTCAATTTATTAATGTTCATTAAATAGGAGACGAATGCAGGGCGAAAAAAATGAGGGATCGATACTTCCTCACCTCAATTTTTGATTTATGAATTATAAGTAATAATTGATAAATTAATTCTAAGTTTAATTTTATTTAAAAACATAACTAATAAATTTATTAATTAATTTTGGATTTAATTTCATTTAAAACATAACTAATAATTAATTAACAATTTATTGGAAATAATAATATTTGGTTAAATTAATAGTTCATTAATGAATTTTGGGCTTAATTTCATAAATAAATAAAAAACAAAATAATAATTTTGTAATTAGAATATTTTCATGTATATGTATTTAATCATGTAGCGCCACATACTTAAGATTAATATAAGTTTTTTGAGATACCACATATATTAGAGTGCAAGAACAAAAAATTCAAAAAAAATTATTAAAAGGATAAAAAAGCTGATTTTTTTAAAGAAAATTAAATATTTAAAAATAATTATATCAAGAGACTAAAATTGCATTTACACATAATAATTATTAGGTGTGTACAATTAAAAGAAATTACTCTCCTTTTTATTTACGAGAAGGATTTTCTTTAGATCGGCTGTCATTAAAAATAATCCTATTTTCTTTTTTTATTAATTAAAAGAAAAGGAATTTAAAATTTTTCTTTACAAAAACAAACGTGAAGTGTGCCTCACGCAAATTGATTTTCTTGTTTCTCTCAAGAAACAGGAAAGTTTAAAATAAAATGAAAAAGAACCCTGCCACACTCCAACTCCATCATTGAAATCTTCAACGTCTCATTCAAGCTTTGTACATTTTACGTTACTCTTTAGGACGAACCAGTCTCGTTCCTATTACTACAATATACTCACCGATCACTATTCTTCACTTCAACTTTATGATCCACTATGCGCATCCACACCAAACTCCCTGCACCTCCACCACCTCTCACTCTTTTACTTCTTTTCCTCTCTTTCTCCTCTCCGGCAACGTCTCAACCACAGACACCATCTCCACCGCCGCCAGATCCATTCGCAAGAATGAAATTCGACAAAACCATGGCCTCAGTGCTTATCTTCCTCGTCATGGTTTTCTTCACTCTAGGCTTCATTTCCATCTACACTCGTCAATGTAGAGAGCGGAGAATCAGAGGAAGGATTGATCTCGCTGTTCCGATCAGCGTCGGTGATGGTTACAGACGACCGTACGGACTGGATCCGGTGATTATCGAGAATTTTCCGAACTTTGTTTATTCCGAGGTGAAGGATCTCAAGATTGGGAGAGTCACGCTAGAATGCGCCGTGTGCTTAAACGAGTTTGAAGATGATGAAACGCTGCGTTTGATTCCGGTATGTAGCCACGTGTTCCATCGTGAGTGTATTGATGCTTGGTTGTTGCATCACTCCACGTGTCCGGTTTGTCGAGCCGATCTTGTTCCCGATCCGAAAGATGAGTTGGCGTCTTCTTCAATTCTGATACAGACGTCGGATACGAATTTAGATGAACCGGTTTTGAACCATGAACCGGATGTGGTTGAACCGGTGTTAAACCATGACATTGACAAAACAAAAATAGTTAAAGTGACTTCAGAGGTGATTTTAGATGGAACTGGAAGAATGAAAAGGCCGGTTCGGTCTAAGTCAATGGGTTTTATGTTTGCGAGATTGTTTTCGCGGTCTAACTCGATGGGTCATTTGACGATTCGGTCGAGTGAGGATTGTGAGCGGTTCACCTTAAGGTTGCCGGATGAGGTTCATAATAGGCTTGTGAATGACATCACATTGAACAGGGCAAAAAGTTTGGGTGTGGAAATGGCATTACAGAGTGAGAGAGGGGATTTTAGAACGAGGAGTGTAGGGAGGAGTTTTCCACAGTACGAGCGGTTCAATGTGGAGAGCCGGGTGGACCGGAAAGGGTTTAGTTGTGGTCCGTCTTTATTGGGTCGGGTTGGTTCAATGAGGTTAACTAAGGATGGGAATAAGGGAACAATGGGCGTTGTGGATGAAGTTGATGTTGAAGAACGTTCTTCGAGTCTTTTAGTTAATACTCATTGAGGATTAAATTATGATTGAGTTTGAGATTATGATTGAGATTGGGTGTGGATGAAAATAAGTATACTATTGAATTTTCAATATACTAATTATATATACCATGTTGATGGAGCTAAAGGTTTGTGTTCATAGATTTAAAATATTGATTTAAATCGTGTTTAACGTGTCTAAAAAAACTTCAAAGGCAATGAAAAGACACGAATGTGCCAAACAAACATCCCTATAACTACTCCCTATAGTCTTATATTTAGAAGAAACTATTAGAGATTTTGTAGGTAATATAAGATACGAATTAATATGCGTTGTTTTAAAACTTGGTTCGCAACTTCAACACAATATTGTTTATATATTTTTCTTGTGCGAAATCACTACACAATCTGGAAAAATATGTTGAATTATACTCTTTGTTGCTCCTAATGTATCTGTTAAATTCAAAAGTGATTTTTGCTGTTCAAAATTCAAAATTCAAGACGGTGAGTAGAAAATACTATAAGCTTCTATATTTAATAGTCATAAAAGGTTGTTGGAACTTTAAATCACACACTGGTGAATAATAATAGACTAAATCGGAATGTGGTCACACAATACTGATGAATAATAATAGAGTAAATTGGAATGTGGTGGGTGAAAAAAGAAAATTGAGAGATAGATATGATTCAAAGTGACATTGATATTTTTATTAACTAAATATGAGAGTTTTTTAACATATTTATACAAGTATTACAAACGATTGAGACCTAAAACATACAATATAATTGAAAATTTTAAAAATTTAGAGTTGTAATTGGTTACACTAAACCTGTAATCCATTACAACTGACATTATAAATCAAACACGTTCATTGCTAATCGGTTAATCTCATGTGTTAACTGGTTACATCTTCAAAGATTTCACTTTTCTGCAACTTAGAAGTGTTTTTGGTTTTGCTGTAACCAATTACACCCCGTGTTAACTGGTTACAACACTTGAATTACTCAAAATACTTTTAACACACCACTTTAATTCAAGTGATTCAAGTGTTTTATGCTCATGTTTTATCTTCAACCTCTTGAACACACCATTTGTGACTCCCTTAGTAAACAAATCAGTCACTTGGTCTTCACTTATGCAATATTCAAATTTTAACTTTTCTTCACTAACAAACTCCCTCAAGTAGTGAAAGCTCATCTCAATATGTTTGCTCCTCCCATGTGCAATTCGGTTCTTAGCAAGACTAATCGCGAAAACATTGTCAACCTGGAGTGTAACAACCTCACTCTCACTGCTCCCTAGTGTCGCAGTGAGAATTAGATATCAAGTTAAAATATCGAATAACCCATGAGTATGCAATGCAATGCAAAGGTAAAGAGAATCTAAGGTTTGGGAGTTGATTATACCTAGGGAAGGTGTTAGCATCCTAAGCATCTGTAGTACTCTATAGGAACCTCCTGTTTTACTGTGTTATTTGTTGTTTGTTTACTAAGGGAAAGACCTAGGGGGTTTATTTCTAAGTATACTCGCCAAGACATTGCATCTCGTGCCTACGTATCCTGACAGGAATGGAATCAGAGCATTCTTAGTTTTCCTAAAAGGGTAGATAAAGTTTGTTGATTGGTTTTAGGAGAAGAGACAAGTTGTCATATTAAGGAGCATACTCAACTTAAACCTGTCATACCCCAAATTTGTCCTACCTGTGTATAGCTTTCTGTAATACCCCAAATTTTACCCTTATATTTAGTCAGTCATTTCGCATATCATCTCATCTGTGCATTTGCTAACCACTAACAAGTTATGGAGGTGTTTGTTTTGCAGATTTGGTTCCAGGGGTATTTTGGTCATTTTACGCAAATTCTGCTAATTCCTTGAAGACAGGCTGTTATTAAGTTCTGAGGCATTTGATACACTATTTTTGAGGCATTTACCTATCACCAGGTCTGATTATATCAAGGTGCCAATTCGACGTGGTCGGTATTAAAGTTTGTCGAGCACAAATGGATTCAAGATCCCTTTCATCGCTCATGGTTCGTTTCCAAAGCGCTTCCGTTTCTGTTAATAAGGCGCAATTTAATTGGGTATTATCGGATTGTTGCTCAAGGTATTTGGTCAGTGGAATTCAATTACGACCAAAGTTATCATCGTTGAGTCTGTTGTGATTACGGCGCACATCTGTGTTTGGTTATAAAGTTGTTGGCTAGAATCTGAGTTGGAATGTAGTCAGGTGATGAAATTGAGAATACGAATGAGACAAATACATGGACAAGAACATCGCTCACGAATGTTTATAGTTTATGACTATGTTAATGAGTTTAAACGTTTGTGGATTTGTTCACAAATATTCATAATTTTTAACTGGAAATAAATATAAATAAATTTGAAATTGAGCAGTCATGAATATATAAAAGAAGTGTTGGCATTTTATTTCAAAAGAGATCATCATACAAAAGGGAGTAAATTGTTTCACATTCTTAATTGTGGTAAAATTACAATTACAGATATTACATTTACTCTAAAAAGGTCCTAAATCCTAAAGACTGCTGAGTGTCCTTCGCGGCGTCCTTGAGCTTCTCCGCAAAATCTTCGATTCACCTGCACATTAAAACAGAACAAACAGAATAGAAGGGGTTAGAAATTATTTTTGACACTCTCAGAACATCGTCATCATCGAGTGCCGGGAGTGGCACAACCGAAGCTGCGTCCTACCCCCCGTTACCGATCCGCGCCGTTGGCGTCAGATCAGGTAACACCTGTTCTTATCGTTACGGGACATCCGAGAGATAGAAGTGATAAAAGAAGCGGGACTGATTCGTTTTGCCGCGATTGGATTTCCAAACTGATACGAGAGTAAGGCAACATGGTCAATCTGGATTCAGACCCGGATGCCGGCAGGTCAGAGTCATTTTGTTTCGAAGTTTCCAATACCTGAAATTCCACCACAGCATCAGTACAAATTGATGACAAAAACTCAAAAACAAGACAGTTCATAAGCTACTGAAAATGCACAACCAAAAACACCATTGATTCTGAGTTCAAGAAAACCAAGTAAAGGCTGCTGCTGGATTACAACTGCTACCACAAAGCAGGTTCAAACAGAACAAGAAAATGAAATACAAAAACAAGTTGCATCAAGCTGCATCCAAACAGTGTACCGAAAGTTCAGAAAGCATCAGTTAAAGGAGTCACAAAAAAATGTGAATAACCTCACCGAAGTGGCATCAGACAACAACACAAATCACGAAACTCGTAACGGCACCATCAAAATCACAACAGCAGCTGAACCAAACGTGAACTCAGCTCACAGGGCATCATGGAATTCATATGTCATTGGAACAGCAGACACAAGGATAAGCTTGCCGCAATTGAAATCCAAGCCAGCACATGTGCGGGAAACCGGGCTCAGCAAACATCATTGCCCAACAACCAAGCATCGAAACCAACCAATCTCGAAGGCAACCGCGGCCTCATCGAAGAGGTTCCCTCATCAGGCTCAGACAAGCTATCATCATCGCCGTATACCTTTCCCGGCAATTCTGACTCGACCAAAGCCGTGGTATCAGCCCTCTCTGAAAGAAGAAGAGGAAAAGCTAACTGCATCAGGAAAAGAATTCATGTCAGCAAAACAAACCAATATCCAGACCGTATTAGGAAAAGAGATCAAAGAAATCATATCAGCTGGAAATCAAAACAATCAGCATCTGGAAAGCAAATCAAATCCATGACATAATCGATATCAGATATCAATCAATCCAACCTGAAGGTGCAAGGCAAACCATATCAGAAAAATAATAGAAAGAGATTTTGATTTCATATCATTTCCAAATCAGAGAAAAAACGTTTTGAAGCAAATCCAATTACGAATCCAATTAGATCCTAACAAGGTTCAATCAGATATCAGAATCATACCAAATGAAATCCAAATCATATCTGTCAACAAAATGGAAAACTTCGATTCAGATAAAATCAGATCGTATCAGAAACGGATGCTAAAAACCCCAACAAAATCAAATCGAATCATCAAAATCAATTTCAGAAAAGTAACGCCAACCCAACACAGATTAAAGGCCCAAAAGATAAATCAGAGTGATATAAAAGGACGATTTCACCTGTGAGAAAAAGGGAGATCGCGAAAACGCTAACGGGTAGCCGCGAGAGAGAGAGGAACTGTAACACCCCACTTCCCAAAATCAATTAAATTAATAAACATTATAAATAAACAAAATCAGAGTTCCAATTTCCCAAGTGGGATATCACATGAAAACAACGTTTCCTTATAAAAAGGTTTTTCTCCAAATACAGCGGAATATTAAATATAAAACCCAATAAAAGTTTGATACGTTCACAGGAAAATAAAATATAAGTTCTTCATAAAACAAATAAAAGCGCCCAAGTCCCGTGCTACGTATCAGAGCATCCTAGACTCGACTGTCACACCATAATCCAAGCTAGCTAAGTACCTGGATTATCTGTACTTCCGGAGAAGCACAGACACAACAACAGCAAAGGGGTGAGAAATCATGATCAAAAATATAATGGTAATGTAATACATGTAATAAGGCAGTAAAACACACCAACACATCAATTATTCACCCCAACAACACCATATAACGAACCTACTGTTCAAATTACAATATAACATATTATAATGCAATTATGCAACTCAACACCATGCATGCGGTACCGACTCATTGGTTCATTCAATCGAACCTGGATAGATCACTTACGCTCCTCCTGAGACATGATCTATCCCCCACCATTCTCCACAAAGGAGTACGGATGAATCACTTACGCTCCTCCTGAGACATGATTCATCCCACCAAAACACCATGATATGCAAGACACCAATGCATAATTATTATATTCTGGCACGCTAAGTGCACACGATCCTCCTGATCATATCATCATACAACAATGCATATGTATAGATATATTACACCAACACCATATAAATCAATCAGATAGTAAACGAATTCATACTATCACACCGGATATAACTACGTCCCCCCCCCACTCGGGGATACACGATCCTA